AGCCAGGCTGATGGCCGAGTGCTGTGATGTGCCCAGTGTGGGCATTCAGGGCACTCCAAGCCAGGACTGCTTTGCAAGCAGGGAACCCCTGAGAATTGTCTGTCCGGGGTGGGTGTCGGGTCCCTTTAAGCACAGCCCTCGGCTAGCCTGAGACTGCAGCTCCACGCTCTAAGTCCTAATCTGATGCCCTGCCAGTACTGCTTCCGGCCATCCTTAACCTCGGTTCAGGGTCCACTCAATGTGGACATGCTTGTTCGAATTAGCAAAAAGCTAATTCGAACTAGTTTTTACGTCTAGATGCACTAGTTCGAATTAGCTTAGTTCGAATTAACGAATTCGAATTAAGTTAGTTCGAATTAGTGCTGTAGTGTAGACATACCCTTATAGTGTACAGCAGGCTTTTAATGGTAAAAATTGCTTTCTAGTCTGCACACTGCAGGAAAAGCTAGTTATAATACTCCCAGCACACCAGGGCTACGTCTAGACTGGCCCCTTCTTCGGAAGAGGCATGCTAATTTCTAACTTTGGAATAGGGAAATCCGTGGGGGATTTAAATATCCCCCGCGGGATTTAAATAAACATGTCCGCCGCTTTTTTTCCAGCTTGGGGAAAAGCCGGAAAAGAGCGTCCAGACTGGCGCGATCCTCCGGAATAAAGCCCTTTTCCGGAGGATCTCTTATTCCTCCCGGCTTTTCCCCAAGCTGGAAAAAAAGCGGCGGACATGTTTATTTAAATCCCGCGGGGGATATTTAAATCCCCCGCGGATTTCCCTATTCCAAAGTTAGAAATTAGCATGCCTCTTCCGAAGAAGGGGCCAGTCTAGACGTAGCCCACGGGTACGTCTAGACTGCTGGGGTTTGTTTGGTTTTTTTGAAAAATGGCTGGTTTTCCTAAAAACTTCACTTGCGTCCACACTGCGATTGCATTCTTTTGAACACAGGGGTTTTTCCGATATTGGTAAATCTCATTCTATGAGAAAGAATGCCTTTTCTGAAAGAGCTCTTTCAGAAAAAGGCGTGTATGGATGTGGAAGAGGGAGTTTTTTCAAAAGAAGAGGCCTCCAGGAAAAAGCACAGGTGGCCAGGTGGTCACTCCGTCTATGGTAATCACATCTTACATGCGAGATAGCGTCCATTCAGTGTACGCTGTCTTTCGGAAGAAGGTTTTTCGGAAGATCTCTTCCAGAAAAGCTTCTTCCGAAAGAAGCCTGCAGTCTAGACGTACCCCTAATAAGTTTATTGCTTTACAGAAGAGTTCCATCTAAACTGAGTCACAGATTTTTAGGCATTATAGATGAAGATTATCTATTACGTCATCTGCAGTAGCTATCCCCTGCTAATGCAAGATTTCACCTTATAATATATGGGAGGCTACCACAATTTCCTATGTGGGGATTATTTCAAAATCTAGCAGACATCATTCATCAGATCTTTCTCATCTTTTCTGTCTTAAACGTCCTTCCGTCCCTCCCCCTGGCTGTTATGTATGTAGTCTGGGACAACTGTTCCTCTCACACTTTGGGTTTTTAAACAACTAGGTAATTGTAGCTAGCTACCACAGTCTGTTTGATTGCCATAATTTAGCCACTCTCTCCATACATTTATTATTTTTCTGTTTGTCCTTCGAGCTTTGCCGTCAGTTCTTATATTGTTAAGTGACATCTTTCAAGCTCTGGACAAGGCCAGCCCTGAATGCAGTAATCTCAGAGCTGCTAAGAAGAGCTATAAACTGCATGACCTGGTTCTGCATATGCAGCTGAAACTCATATTGTCCCTTCCTATTGTAAACTTACAACCAATTTGTTGCCCATTGTCATGACTAGGCCTTTTTCAGCATCACTAATTTCTAAAGGCAGGAAACCTCCCTGTGAGCATTAACTAAACTTGAGCTATCTGAAGGTCACTTATGTCACCCAGGATTATTTGCATGCTGCAGAGGAGGCAGGGCACAGCTGGAGCTGGCAGACACATGCAGGGCTCTGGAGCTTCGGAGCTTCCCAGGAATGGAGTTTTGCTTCATGCTCAGAACCAACAGAAGCTGAATGGAGGCACTGCTGTTAATGGAACTCGTACCTTCACTTAACTCGTGACTACACTGCACAATTCTGCTTCTTCCCAATCTATTCTTCAATGCTCCTCCTGACCCCTCCTTGCCCTGAACCCTCCGCTTCCCCCCATCAGCAGCCTGACTTCTTCTGGGCCCAGAAATTCCACTCTTGCGAAGCTAAACTCTGCAGGCTAATAATACCTAACTTTAATAATATCCAGCTCTTTTACAGCACTTTCCATTGGTAGTTCTCCAAGAGCTTTACAAAGGAAGGTAAATCACACTATCCCCATTACACAGACGAGGCCATTGAGGCACAGAATGGTGAAGTGATGTTCCAGCTGTTGCAACTGGTCAGTGGATCTCTTGCCTGTGATGCTTCCAGACTTCACAGGTCTTGAGCTCCCAATGATCTGAACAGCTAATAAGCCGAAATCTTTGGCTGTACCCTACGAAGTTCAGATACTCAGTGTTCCCTCAGATTTGCCTTTTATTGAACACATGCAATTTGAATTTTTCCTCTAATGAATCAGCCAGCCTTTCCCTGGCTTTCATGTTGTCTGTTACAATTCATCATATGACATATAATTAAAAACAATTCTCACCTTGTCTGTCAACAGCATTGATACTGAATGGAAATTGTCCTTCCAACCAATGATACATGTCACCCGTTGGACCCCAGGGAGCTACACACAGGTGAATAAGCTCCTTATACCTGAGCTCAGAAGCGTCACCTCTTTCTCAGGTTAGATTTGGGGAGTCAGTGCAGCCAGTTGGGAGGGGGAGGGAGAAAGAGAGAAATAAAAATGATCCCTGGGCAAAACAACCCCATATATGGGTTTTCTTTTAAGTATGTTTCTATGTTTAGAATTTTCTCCATAAATGGTAATTTAGCAGCCTCTAGGCTCCTGAGCCTGTGACATTTGAAACAAGAAAGTTTGCTCATCAAGTGGATTAAGCCCTATCTACACATACACACACACATGCTTTCCCAGGACAAATCAATACAGCGAGATTTGAATTTCTAGCAGTGATGTAAAATCCTGTTTAATCAGTTAACCCATTAAACATTATGTTTAACTGATTAACCTCTTAAACAGGGGCAGATGGGGGGGGTATTCCAGCCCAACCTGGCTGGAGCGGCCCCCTCACTGGCCGCATGGCGTGACAGGCCTCATCGGAATGGAGCCTCCTCTGCCCTCCAGCCTAGCTGGGCCCACCACACCATGCCACGAGCAGGCAAGGAGGTGCTCCAGTCTGGCCAGAGCGTCAGTTAACTATAACCAGTAACCATCACCCAATAAGGGTCATGTTCACCTGTTACCATTCACATCCCTAATTTCTAGATCATTAAAGGCTGGTAGTTAAAAGTGGCCTTTAGGAGAGGCAGATCCAGTGGAGGGGAGGGAATCATGGACTGACAATCAGACTATCTTGGCTCTATTGCCAGCTGTGCCACTAATCTGCTGTTTGACATTGGGCAAGTAATTTGTCTCTGTGTCTCAATTTCCCATCCACAGAATGGGAATGATGATGATGAACTTCTTTTGTGTAATGCTTTGAAAATCGAGGGCAAAAAGCACACTATGCGCCTTGAATGTGGATCCATCAGTCAGTTCTAAATACCCATTTTGCCAACAGAGAGGCTGCTGCCTGACCAAATCAGAAATTGTGCAAACATGAGAGTGTTCCACAGCGCTATAAAATGATTTGGCATTTGATTAAAACAAGAAAGCAACCAGATTCTAGCTGCCCCTTGCAGAGAGGTGTGGCGTAATCTCATTGCCATCCTCTCTCCTTTGATTCCCTTTTAGTATTTTGCATTGTCATGCCTGAGATGAAATAAAACGTTCTTTGGAGAAAGGACCATATCTTATTTGGCCTGTGAGGGGTACAGCACACCTCTGAACATTACTAAAATAAATAATTCTCTGCATTGCACCTTCAGATCACTTGTGCAAAAACACAACTATGCAATTCCAAGAGCAAAAATGTAAAGGCAGCTTTGGAAATTTTATCCCTAAAGAAACATGTGATGGGGAAGTGTGCATACATGGATTTTTAAAAGTCTCTCCTTCTGTAGATGCTGGGCACTAACTTTAGGTCCTGAGATAGCAAAGCATTTAACTACAGGCTTAGTTTTAAGGCATGGACCTAGTCCCATTGAGATCAGAGCCTAATATCATAAATATCTGGTCCTCATGAGCTTTCCTTCCTTTGCAGCATGCACTATACTGAATTACCGGAACACAAGCAAATGAAAAGGAAGCGAGAGCTTACTCAGACACCAAGACCTCAGAAACCTGAATAGATTTTTTCAGCTCCAGACCCCAGCAGCCTAGAATACAAATTACAAGCTTCCATGATTTAGACCAGTAAGTTCAGGAATTCTTTCTGCTGCAGTCCCACAGGGACTCCAGAACCAAGTGCTTCAGACTTTACAGATCTGAACTAATGTGCTAACTTCCTAATGCAGGCCCATAACTATTTTTAGATGCAAATAACATTTCTTTCTGTAGATTGAAGCACACAGTCCACATCTGGGTATTGTATAAATAAATAATATCATGATTTGGATCCTTCAAACCAACTTTCAAGTGATTGCCCCACATTAGCTCTGTGTATGGACAATGAAGTGACCAGTGTGTTTAATCTCAGTAGACTGTTCCCTGCAATAATTATCAATTGTTGTTATTAATTACTAATTATTGTTTGTATTACAGTGATGCTCAGGAGCCCTAGGCCTTGTCTATACTTACTCAGAGATCGACACTACAGAGATCGAATTTCCAGGGTTTGATTTATAGGATCTCGTAAGGACTGGCTAAATCGACTGCTTATGGTGCCCCCGTTGACCCTGCTACACCACGGGGTCAGGAGGAGTCAGGGAAGTTGATGGCAGAGTTTCTCATTATCAGTAGAAAAGAGGAAAGAAAAGACTCCAACCTGGCGATCAGAAGAGCTATTCTAAGGCTCTGAGACTAATGGTCCTATTTTGCTTTGGATTCTACCATCTGGAGTGAGAATGAAGGTAATGCAACACTGACTGGACTTGACTGGACTAGTGAGGTGCAGAGCTGACTTTGCAGGGGGGCTAGCCTAGTTTAGTGAAGGTGGCAATGCAGAACTGACTTTCCAGGATGGTCTGGCTCGAGCAGCAGCAATGTAGAGATGATTGCACAGTAACCTGATAGATAACGGCTACGTCTAGACTGCAGGCTTCTTTCGGAAGAAGCTTTTCCGGAAGAGATCTTCCAAAAAAACTTCTTCTGAAAGAGAGCGTCCACACTGCCACGGCGTATTGAAAAAGCGACCTGCTTTTTCGAAAGATAGCGTCCACACTGATTGGATGCTCGCTCGCATAAAAGGTCACCTGGAATCACTTCAGGCAGGGCTTTAGGTTACCAGTTGCTTCCGAGTGCTGGTGCCAGAGCCTAGCAGAGATATGCGCTTAAAGGGACCCACCTGGACAGCAGTTTCTCTGCTTCTGCTGCCTGCTGTGGTTGCCCAGCTTTTTTGGACACCACAGCTTTTTCCTTTGTGCAATGGAGCCAGAGCTACCCCTGGGCATGCGATGGCCCCACATGGCCATACTGCAGTTTCTGCAGCATTTTGCACCGGCTGCCTTCCTGGTCCTAACTGAGCTCAACCCCGAGCTCATTCTGGGGACCCTCTCCCTGGGTGCGGGAGCAAGACCATGACAATCGCACCCCACAGTAGAGAGCCGTTTCTGGAAGCTGGACACCGGTGGGACCAGCTGGTCATGGAGCAGAGGGACCACCAGCAGTGACTTCAAAACTTCCACATATGAAAGGCCATCTTTTTGGAGCTGTGTGCCTGGCTCTCCCCTGCCCTCTGGTGATGTGACACGCACCTGTGGCCCAGTATCCCCCTGGAGAAGCAGGTCGCAATTGCCATCTGGAAGCTCTCCAATCCCCAACGGCTACGGGTCGGTGGGCAACCAGTTCAGTGTGGGTAAGTCCACCATCAGGCCCCTCCTCATGGAGGTAAGGCACTCTCCAGCTGTAGTCCCTGCGCGGGGCGGGGGAGGGAGGAAGAAGCCTAGCAGAGACACACACTTAAAGGGACCCACCTGGACAGCCAGGAGAAGGAAGAGTCCTTAGAAAGGGGGACCCCCAAGAAAGGGGAGTGGTGGAAAACCCCGTCCCTGGAGGATTGTGCTGTTCCGCCCTCATACAGCCCTGCTGCTGGGGGCAGGCCTCATAGGGGGTGGCTCCTGGGGTTTTGAGTAGGGGAGGACCTCCCAAGGGCTCAGGCATCCTCCTTCTTATTCTCTTTTTTGTGTGTTTGTTTGTCTCCTTCTGTAGGTGGTGAGGGCCATCTACTCCATCCTGCTGTGGAGAGTCATCCTCCTGGGAGACCTGGATTTGCTGCCCTGGGATTCCCAAACTGTGGGGGAGCGATTGATGGGACCCACATCCTGATCTGCGCACCTCAACATAGAGCGGCCCAGTACATCAACCGCAAGGGCTACTTTTCTATAGTGCTGCAGACCCTGGTTGACCACCATGGACAGTTCATAGACATTTTTGTCAGGTGGTTGGGCAGGGCACATGATGCCCAGATTTTTCAGAACTCCAGCCTGTACTGGAAGCAGGAGACAGGCACGTTCTTCCCCTGCTGGGACTTTGCCATTGGGGACATGCAGATGCCACTGTGCATCATGGGGGACACGGCCTACCCCCTGATGCCATGGCTAATGAAGTCTTATACTGGCCACCTGGACCCCAGCAGGGACAAATTTAATGCCCACTTGAACCAGGCCAGGATTCAGGTGGAGTGCGCCTTCAGCTGCCTCAAGGCGTGGTTCAGGTGCCTCTTGACCCGCCTCGATGTGAGGGAGCACAACATCCCCAAGGTGGTGTCAGCATATTGTGTCTTCCACAACATTGTGGAGAGGAAAGGGGAGGCCTTCCTCCCGGGGTGGGGTGCAGATGCTGGCTGCCTGGGGAGAAGCTGCCATCAGACAGGTCCATCAGGCCGGGGTGCGCATCTAGGGGGCCCTGAGGGAGAGTTTCTTGCAAGCACTCTAGTAATTCTCCCCAGGGCCTCACCCCTAGGGGCTGCTGTCTTGCTGCCCTATCCCTTTCATACCACAACCCCTCCCTTCATCCCTTCCCTGACCTCTCAGTAAAGACACCTGTTTGGTTTTGAACAAAACAAACTCTGTATTTATCTTTAAAAAAAGGTGGTGGAGGGGGGTTCATAACCTGGAGGGAGGGCATTTTCTCTCCCCTCTGAGTGTGCCACACAAATACCCTGTTTTGATGTGGAGAACGTCTTCAGGAAAGTCTGCAGCATTCAAATAGAAGTTTGTGTGATTTTTTTAAAAGTCTCTGCACTGTACCATTTATTTGTGTATGTCTGCGAGAGAAGTTTCCGTAACTTCAGTTTCTATAGAAGTGCTAAAAAGAGAAAGAGAAGCAAAAGTCAACAGAGATATTGCTGTAGAATAGAGGCATGTGCATGACATTGGAGAATAGATGTTGAAATGGCCACTAACTTGTTCTTAGTTGATACACTTTTGATGGGATGTTAAGTAGGGATGTTAATAGTTAACCAATGGGGGCTGGAGCAGGGTCAGGGATGGCAGGGGAGCATGGGGGTCATGGGCATCACTTGGGGAGGGAGAAGAGGCATAGCTTGGGGGCCAGGAGGAGGGGGAATGGGCATTGCAGGGAAGAATGGTGGTAGGCAGGAGCAGTGACAGCAGCTGGGTGTGCCATCACTTCCCCCATGCTATCACACCTCTGCATGAGCTGGTCCCGCATGCGGGTCTGCCAGTCTGCGTCCTTGTGGATCTTCTGCACTAGGGTCTGTTGCATGTCGCACAAGACGCTGACATGCTGCCACATCAGGTCTTCATGGACCCTGGCACGCTTTTGGGTCCCCTGTACTCTGGCAGCTGGTTCAGTTGGTGTGGCTCACCCTTCAGTCCCAACTGGTCTGACTGTGGAGAATACAAAGAGGTGGTCAGTCAGCCATGCAGACACTGTCTCTGAGGCCGCGCCCTCCTCTGAGAACAGCGATCAACAATCCTCGGGCCAGAGGAGGTGGATGTCCCGGGAGCAAGGCCATGTGCCCAGGGGACCATGCTGTCTGCTTCCTTCCCCCCCCTTCGGCCCATGGACAAGGAGGCAAGGGAAGTGTCTGGCCACTGTGGGATCCCCCAATGGGTGGCAGAGGAGCTGGGAGCAGCCTGGCCCTCCTTGGGGCCCACACACACACTTGTGCCTCACACCACAGGCGCGGGTGCTGCCTCGCACGTGCAGGTGTGCCCATGTGCTGTGTGCAGCACTCCTTGGTGTGTCTGGGGTCATGCCTGCACCCTTGTGGCTAGCCTGCTTCCAGCCGTGGCAGGTGCTAAGAGGGGCACTCCCCCGGGGCCAGACGTATGTATGACCTCACCTGAGCCTGGGAGCAGGATCCTGGGCGTGCTCAGGGGCTGCCTGCTGAGTCTGCGTGGTGCACACTAATGCTGCATGTGGTTCCACGTGCATGGACTGCAGCACGCTGTCCAGCCTGAGCAGGCTGAGAAACTCTCGCACCCCTCCCCCTCTGTGCCCGCCTCCCCCATCCTGTGTGTGTGACAAACTGAGAGCGCTCACCTGAGGATCCCTCCCCAGTGTCAGAGGAGGCCTGGGAGATATCCTGGCTCACAGGAACCGGCTCTAAGGAGAGTGTGACGGTCTGCTTCCTCCTCCTCATGCTGTCCCTGGTCCTCCTCCTCCTCCTCCTCCATCGTGACCTCCGAGTGTGTTGAGGATGGAGTCCACAACGACAGGTGAGGAAATGGCTTCCTCCAGGATTTGGTTCAGCTCCCGGTAGTAGGAGCAGGTGCCCTGGAGCGTGAGCTGCACTCTCTGGCCCTCATGTATCCCTGGTGGAGCTCTTTGACCTTACTCCAGACCTGTTCCAAGGTCTGGAGTAGGTGTCTGTGCTCCACCAGGGGCTCAGCCATCCAGCCATTAATGTCGGCGTTCCACCATTTGGAGCGGAGATCCTGGAGTGTCTCCTCCTCATCCCACAACTCGAGGAGGGACAGAATCTCTGCTCCGGATCAGGAGGGTGCCCACATCTTGGTCCCCCTGAGAGCCTTGGGGCTACTCCTTGTGAGGGCCAAGGGAGTATCAGGGAGCTTGAGGCTGGGATATGTTTGCAGTGCCTGTGGCAAGGAGAACCGCACAGTCCGGGTGCTGCTCCCAGGCCAGCTTCCTGCCACAAAGCTTGTCCAAGGTCCCTGCAGCTTTAAGCGGAGCCAGGAGACAGGAACTATAGAGTTGTGATTACTTTGGATGGCATGTCCAGCAGGGCACCTGTGTTATTTCCTGGAGGCCTCTTCTTTCAAAAGAAAACCCTCCTCCCAGTCCAAACACGCCTTTTTCTGAAAGAGCTCTTTTGGAAAAAGGTTTCTTTCTCATAGAAAGAGATTTACCAATGTTGGAAAAACCTCTATGCTCTTTTGATTTTCTTTTGAACGAACGCGATTGCAGTGTCTACGTAATTGAAGGGCTTTTTGGAAAAACGGACGTTTTTCAGAAAAGACTCTGTAGTGCAGACTCTCTCATAGCAGCTCTGAGCTGAAATCACAGAACTGGGGCAGGTAAATACACAATGAAGTTGTGCAGTTCATCTTGTCTGTCATGGAGCAAACTAATGGCGGAGAGCCATCTGTTGACTACCACTGAGTCTAACTGGATTTGTGTATATGAGGTGTTACATGGTGGGGCTTTGTGGTAGAACTAAGAGTTCTGGACCTCCATAACTCAGACAGTTATTAATTGGAGCTATGGGGTGGACCACACTTCTGATTATTTTCTTATCTATCTCTATCTATAGATATAGATATTAATGCAGTCGTCCCCAAACTTTCGGGGATGCCAGGCCGGGCGGGGACGGGAGCCACGCATGCGCCACACGCCTGGGGCCCAGGTGGCACGAATGGCTTGGGCCGGCCCTGGTCACTAGGCGGGCACACATAAATGCCCCGGTGGGCGCCATGGTGCCCACAGGCACTGCACTGGGGACCACTGTATTATGAGAGTTTATGCTTCCATCTATCTGACCTTGAATCCATCTGTTTGTGGGTCCTATTGTTCAAGAACTCCTAAACGATAACAGCTAGGACCACCAAATTTAGGGTTATCATTTATGAACTTTCAAAAAAGAGGACACTCCTTCTCAGGAGTGTATCTGTATCAAGATCTACCAACTCCCATTGTATGAATGTACTGTA